CTGTAGCTCCTCAAACATTGCCTCTTCCCCCTATTTTGTTTTTACCCATCAAGGACTATTCATTACTACCATTACAAGAGGTCCTTCGTTCTCAGCTCCTACTCATTTCCAGGGAGAGGGAGAGGAAATAGTGCTGAGCTGTGTGTATACAAAGGGCTCATCTGGATGCTGAGTGCACTACACGGCCCTGTTTTCTCCTCCAGCACATCTCCAGTTTGCATGCTTATGATCCCTCCTCCTCTGATTTGGATGGACAAAGGCAATGCTATTTTTGTTTTGTTTCTGTCTAGGACAATGATTAGAATTTGATAAAACACCTTTACAGAAGATAAAAAATCCAAATGGACATTCCCTAAAAAAAAGGAGGAGGGGAGGAACATGCTGCTCTTAATTTGACAAATCTTTTTTGATTTGGGGTGGTTTTTTGTTTCATTCCCCTCCTTGCTAATGAAATTCCTAAAGATGAGATGGGCTGTTGTTGCCATAGAAACTTAGCGCTGGCAGAAACTAAGACTGCAGATTTATTCATGCGTCTTGTTAGTCAAACTTGATGCAATAACAGAGAATTAATATTTTGGTCTCATCGAGATCTTGTCATTTTTGCCTTTCTGCAGAACCTGTGAGCAGAAGGAAATGCTGAACTCTGCACTGCTGGGCTAAATTCCTCAGTCATCCTCAGGCACTGCACTGTGGGCAGCTTTGCTTTATGCACAGGGAGAGCCGGAGTCCCTTGCTGCTCGCTGCAGTGGGATTCTCTTGCTGCTGGCGATGGCAGACACTGGCCTGAGCAGTGACTGCGGGAAATCTGTCCCCTTTTTCTTTTCAAAGCCTCTAGGATGAGTTTGGCAGATAAATGACTTTGCTACTCACAAGCATTTTAACCCTCTGGTAACAAAATATATTTTATGTTCTCAGTAATGCGCATTTTGCAGCTACTGATGAATGCATCTTTGTCCTGTTGGATGAATTAGCATTTATCCCATCCCTGTCTGACGAAAGAGAAACTGAAGCGAGGAGGACAGATGAATATGCTATACGTAGAGCTACTCCAAGTCCATCCCAGCAGAGCAGAATTTGGGTATGAAGTCTGTTCTTGCAGCTTAGACTGTTAGGGACATGGTTTTGTGGGCATGGTGGTGATGGGTCAATGGTTGGACTGGATGATCTTAGAGGTCTTTTCCAACCTTAATGATTCTATGATTAGACTGCTAATGATTGTTGGACACAAACTCACAAACCAATTTTTTTTTTCTGCCTCTCAGACACAAATGAACCAATCAGCATAAATCTGCAATATGAGCTGTTCCACTGTGTGTCAGAAGTTCTGCAGCACTACCAGACCCTACAGGGACTTGTTTGGCCAAATAATGAAGGAGTCAACCCTTTGGTTGCTCTGCCTGGATACAAGCTTACTGTGGGTATCTCAGTTCAGGGCATACTGGAGAAAACTGAAAGTGTTAAGGACCACACCAAGGATGTGGATAAGAGGCATTCCCCAGTGCTCCCCAGATACACCTGTCTATGCATGTGTGTGATTAGACAGATGCCACATTGTTGTATGTGCACAGATAATGTTGCCCTTTTGCAGACAAATCACAAATAAATTCTATCTAATGGATTGCTATTACAAGGATGAAAAAGGAGCTCCGAAAGAACTAATGAAGTGGCTTAGAGTCCTAACAGGTGGAAAAAGTGGAGAATATTAATACTCAGTTGAGATTTTAATTGTGGAGGCTAACTAACAATAATAGAACCTATATTTTCATAAAAAACACAGATTTCTGTCACAGGATTAGCAATTCAAACCCCCTACCAGACTCCCTTATTATCATCCTTCTCCAGAAAACTAGTTTAGTTTTCTCTCTGAGATGATTGGATGCTTTGATTTAAATGGGCAGAATGAACCTGAAGATTATTTGTTCTTAAGGAAAACTCGGAGACTTCAAGGCCTGTCAGTGCCATTCTGAGAGCGGCTCAGAAGCATCCATCCTCACTGAATTTGTGAAGCATGGTTGGCAAGTGGGGAACTGTTCAAAAAATACTTCTGTACCAAAGAGCTACACCTACTTCATAGCAATTGATAGAAGATAATGAATTTGAAACTGAAGTCAATAAACCTATAGAAAATAAGTCTTTTACAAACAAGTACTTGAATACCAGGCATAAACTTTTAGGATCAGGCCCTCCCATGACTCTGAATACTTTAGGATTAGACATGTTGGGTAAGATCTCGTGCTTCATTTCCCTGGATTTCCTAGAGGTGTAAATTAGTGCAGCCTCTGCCTTATAATCATTAGTGAAATAAATTAGAATGCTTGAAGGAGCAGCCTGATTGGGAAGTGAAGTGATCACTAGCAACTATTGTCAGTGTTGTGTGCTTTGTTCCATTTACAAGGCTAATTACTGTAACAAAGTAGATCATTTTAAATGGAAACTCTGGATAACTCTCAATGCAAATGTTCGTGATTTTTTCCTGGATGCATCACAACCACATAGAGGAAACAAGAGACAATGGAAATAATCAAAACACCACTAGATTGAACAACTATTCAATAGACTTTTGTTAGAGCTCAGCACAAATGTACGTTTGTCCTCATTCTTTATGAGTTCTTTGTCTGAGGTACTCTATCAAATCTTACCATCTTTGCATCTCCTTGCAAAACAGCACTGTCCACCCTATTATGCTTTCTGACCTTGGCCCAAAGAATCCAGTCCACCTCCCAGGGGAACCACTGGCTAAACTCCTGCTAATCTCAGTGTCGTGGGACTGAGCAGAAATTCTTCACTCAGTCACGTTCTTAACTTGCAACACATGTCCACTCTTATTCAGCCCTGCTCTTCAGCTCTGAAGTTGCACTTCAGGAAAAGCTGTGAGTTAATCGCCTGTTCAAGTGTTTGGCGTATTTAGCCTGAAGCCCATATTGCCTGGAATAACCACCTGACAGTTGGGTAACGTCCTTCTCCTGTTTGCATCAACTGAGCTGGTTGCTCAGCAATGTGACAGCTGGGCATGTGGCAGGAAGAAGCTGCAGGACTGAGCCAAGTGCTGCCTTGTTTGCTTGATTCATAGATGGTTTCTGAGACAGGAAAGAATTTTAATAAGGAAGATTAAAGAGAAGTGCAGTTTTCCAGGGAGCATATGTTAATCTTCTTGAATGGTCTTCAGTATACTGTGGTCTGCGCCCACCAACTGACAAAACACAAGGCCATTTTTAATAGTGTCTGTACTTACAGAAAACTTTTTTATTTGAATATATGCCTCCTAGCCTTCTCATTCTTTTCTAGGGGCAAAATTAGAGAGAGAGAAAAAAAAAGATAATTCCTTTAGACAATGCATGAGAAAGCTTTGAAGTCATTCCCTTCCAAGGCAAAATCACATTCTGACATTCTCCTCTTCCTTTGTATTTACTCCTGATTTGAGATGTAATGTTTACCCCTGGGAAAAGCACCTTGGAATAACTGCAGAAGTATTACTCCGCACAGGAAATCTTGGCGAGCTTGGACTGACAGCTGTTTGTGCTCTGAGTGAATACACACGCCTGGGGAGAGCGCTGAGCTGTAACGAGCACAGCAAAGCAACAGCTTAGGACCAATTCTCTTTTAAGTGGGGTTGAAAGCACACAGCCCAAGCATGCATCCACATTCCCACAGTTATTTTCTCTGGATTTTAAAGTCACACCGCAGGTTTCTTTTTCTAACCCTTCTGAATTGGTAGTTTTATTTATTTATTTTGAGAACCAAAGGGTAGCCAAGAGGCGTACAATTAGCCTCACCGCTGCCTGACCCTGACAAAAGACTGTGCAACAAATACACCTTCTGCCATCACTGCTGGAGCTGGGAAACTGGCATCCAGCATTCCTGATCTGAAACAGAAGCACAGTAAAAATACAAATACATCCATATTTCTTGTAAGGGGTAGAACAAGGCATCCCAACCCTACTGTTTTAGATGGTCCATTACTGCTTTTAAAAATAATCTGCACGTCCACAGAGTTTACTCCACCATCAGTACATCAGATGTGCTGCAAATGCTCAGATCAATTGTGCCTGCACAGCAAGTCTGTGTGAAACCCATTGGTCTTATCTTCTTTTAGGATGTGCCAGTTTGCATTGTCCATGTGAAATTGGGAAAGACTGAAAGAATTGTTGGCATGGGCTCTTTCATCCCAGGCAGTTCTGTATAAAGGGAAAAAAACAGGAGGAGAACACATTCAACTTCATCTTAAACATACCAAGTCAAACACTTTTCAGGCCACCAATGTAGTTGTGTCAATGGTATTTTACTGGCATAGCAGAAATGCCAAGTCACAGCCTGAAGCAGAGATTGAGCACCTGCTGGGAAGGCAGGGCCAACCCAGTGGAGCTCAGGTGCATGCAATGCAGCTGAGTGACTAGAAGGGGTGGAGCCAGGATCCACCCTTTCCTAGACCTCATTTAAGGGTTGGCAGGGGGAAGTGAGGGTATCTTTTGCTGGAGATCCCTGCCTACCTGAGGTCTTCCAAAGGCATGTTGTTATTTTCCTTTGTTTTTTTGTGTTTGTGGTTGCTGCATCTGGGCTTATTTTCATCTGCTGTAGCCAGAGGTTTTGCCACTCTACTATTACTGAGGTACTTTCTGTCCCATTTTAGTATTACAGCTGGTCAATATCTTATGTCAAACTGAAATGAGGAGAAATTGTTGTGATCACTGTCATAAAGCACTGTAAAACCGGTGCAAGTGGGATGAGAATCAGCGTGGCCATCTTAGCGAGACAGAAAACAAATGCTTGTAATAAGGCACACTTCACCAACTGCTGTGACTCTCAGTGATGGTACAAAAGGATTGCAAGTCATGCACCACAGGCAGAAGAGCGTAGCAAACAAATCAAGGGCATGAAGGGCAATCACTAAAACGCGAGACTGTTTCTATACAGCTCTTTGACGTCTTTGTAAATCAGCTGACTTCCATAGAGTTACCTATGGCTACTAAAGATGGAAGGAGAAAACATTGATTTGAGAACCAGGAAATGAAGAGTATTAGGATAAAGAATGATGTAGATTAATCCAGGAGAAGTCAATTTCCCTGTTTCCTAGACTGGCTCAGTTTGACATCAGTTCCAGTTGTCTCCATTATATACAAGCACACTTAACAACAACATGTTCTGTCACCAGGGGGAACAAATTCCTGATTCTTCCAAATGAGTTCTAAGGAAGCAGGGGATAAAGAAAGGTAGGGAGTGCCAATCAAACAAGATGAATATGCTTTTGTTCTAAGCCAAGTAGCTGCTATTCTTAGTAAAATACTAGTCCACTGCCTCTGAGAAAAAGGTAAACAGTTTGTCCTGGTTTAAATTGTTACAATTTTTTGGCACACTGTGTGACAGCAAAATGTTGTTTGTTGTTGTTCTGTTTGTTTATTTGTGGGAACACCCTGAGCTGAGTTCCTGTTCTGCTGGGCTCTGTCTGATTCAAGCAAAAGAGACAAGCTCTAGCCCAAATCAATCAATAAATGGAGGTGGAATCTTCTGACACATGAACTGATTTCTATCTCAAAAGGTTTTATGAGTATTTTGACCTGTTGTCTTCCACTGCAATCAGTTATATGGTTTTGGTGTTCCTAAAAGTTTCACTAGCACAACAGAAGGAACACTTTGAGTTTTGATGTGAGTGCAGCACTAAGTTGAGAAAACTGCATGGCTGCATGCCTGTGGCAGTTTTGGTGCCAGAAGTACATTCTTGATGAACATTGTTAAGAAATTCTGCAACCTGTCCAAGCAAATATATTCACAAAGAAAGTATTTGGCTTTGTGTGGGGAAAGAGGGATAATTAAGCCCATGTATGTACTTGGATACCCCTGCAGTGTTCAGCAGCAGCTGTCTAGGCATCTTCCAATTGACAACACCACTTGACTACTGTCCTATCACAACAAAGACTCCCCTCACGAAAGCCTCAGCCCAGTGGAGGTTACAGCCAGCTTTGAAATGCACTTAAATGGATTGAACAGCTTGGGCCAGATTTTTGGTTGAGTATCTCTATTTACAGTGAGTTCAGCAATCAGGCTTTTGACTCTTCTTGTCAGAGCAGTCCACTTGCATGTCTATGCGTAGGGCATCACAGCAAGGGGTGCAATACCTATGTCATTTTTACTCTGCTTTTTTGTTTGGTCCTTTGTCTGCTTCATCATTTTCAGTTTGATACACTGATCCTGAAAATGATAATTTCCCACATACTTTCTCCTTCTTAAAAATTGCTGCGTATGTACAAGGCAGCTTCAGTACCTGAAGCCTGCAGCCTATGTGCATAACTAGCATGTGTATCTTGATGCTTACTTAAAGAGAGTAGGAATTCATATGTTTTGCTGCTATTCTTTGGCTGTATCTTTTACAGACCTTTAGATTTCAAAGGAGGAAAGTCTGAAGGCTAAAATCACATAGTGTAGCTTCTGCAAGCAAACTCCTGGACCCAAGCAGTGTGCTGGGAAGTCAACTGCAGAATACAGATAGAACCTTTCATTGCCAGTTCCATGATTGCTGTGGTGGGCAAGTGTTAAAGTCACCATGACCTCCAGCAGGTCTATCTGGGTTAAGTGTCCAGAGCATTGCTGAATGTAATTAGCTTATGCATTTTTAGTGCTGGTCCAAACAGTATTAGCTGCTGCCTTGGTAGCACAGGGAAGCTTGTATTGTTACAGGCTGTTCTGCCATGACATGTGAGGGTAATTGGTATGTGGAGGTGAAAAGGTCACAGATATTTCCTATGCTCCACCAAGGAGACACGAAAAATGTATGATAATTAACTGAGAAAAGTGGGGTGGGTGAACATTATCAGGCTGAGGATGGAAATGGGTGGACAGGTGAGCCCCCAGGTGGGGATCTGCATTTTCTTGCTTGAACTTTAGACTTCACATCCTTTTTAGTCAACGTGTAATGGACAGGAGCTCAGCTATTTCAGACAGCTAATTGTTCTGGAAGGCGCTTCTCCAATCATTTGACAAAATGCCTGTGATGCATGTTAAGGATAATTATCTCTTGTTCTGCTGTCCTTAAATATCCCTTACAAATGTCAGCCCTGTCAGATGAAGAAGAAGCATTGAGAATCCCTGTTTCAGAGTGCACAGGGAAAGCAGCAACCATTTCCATGCCTGTTAAAACAGCACATACTAATGCATTTCGTTTGTGCTGAGGTATTTTTAGGTTTTAGAATTATGTAAATTGTTCTCCAAATTACGCACAGGCCTGAGATAGCAGCTAGTAGCAGTCGCAGCTGTCAGAGTCATATGGTGTTGAGCACCCAGCAAGTTGCAGGAGAGAATGCGGAAATGGTTCTGGGCACCACTACAGCCTCAAATATCTGCTAATGGATGGGCAGATAGCACTGATGTAAGAAGGGAGACAGAATGGAAGATGGGCCTCTCCACTAGCACCTGGAGGTATTGGATGTCATTACCACTGCAAACTAGAATAGACAGTTTTATTATCAAGGTCAACAGTGCCATTAAAATACTTCCAGGCATCAATCTTCTACTCGTAATGGAAAGTAACACAAAATAAATTAGCTGCCCACTTAACCAGCTGATAGAGATGGGACAGACTGGACAGAATGGCAGGCTTGTTTCTTTTGTTTTTATAGGAGGTAAATGTTTGGAGTGGATAAATCTGTCTGCCCAGCAGAGAGTATCCCAGGACTCCAAGTGCTACTTTTCACAGAATTGTCTTGAGAAATCCATATGAAATGGAATTGTCATGGAATAACCAGGGACTGTTCGCCTGAAGAAAGAGGCTTTCTAGATTCTGCTTCCTCCAGTGCTGAGATCCTGGTACATGAAGTGTCTGGGACCAGGATTCTGCTTCACTCCATTACATGGAGGTAAAAACTGAGGACCCATTGCCTCAGCTCTCACTGCTGACTTGTGCAAATTCACCCAGTAAGTCTGGAACTGAACTGAGCTGAGAACCCTGGTTTCCCAAGTGTGATCCTGGTGCTTAAGAGCTGATGATGAAGGGGGAAGTCGCTTGCAATTAGCCACACTTCCCTGGCTTACAAAAATAGAGTTGCTATTTCACACTGCTGGTAATTGCTCTATTTTCTGCCTACAAAACTTTTGCTTCTATATGGCTGACCTCAGCTGAAGAAAACCGCATTGAAAGAAAGAACAGATGCAAGTCTCTGCTTGAAGATTAGTGTCAGAGGTGGTTTCTGGTGGAGGTTTAATTCCACAGAGCTCAGATTTCCATTTACTAGTATACTCAGGCTAAAAAGTGGGTTTCTTTTATTATTAAAGCAGTTTGGCTTTGTGGAAGGTTCATGCGAATGTTTTCACTTTGAGAGTATCAGTGCCAGAGCCTGACTTCTGTAATCCTGTGGCATGCTCTTCTCTTTTACCATTGCTCTTCTCCTTGAATATCAGCCTAACAGCCTCTAGACTTTGCAGGACCTGCATGCTGAAGGACCACACTGAGTAGCAGTAAGGTCTGAGTAGGGCTGTGACACACAGAATGGGGAAGCAGGAGCACTGAAGATCAGGAGAAGCAGAATGAAAGCACAGGAGTGACACTCACCAGCTCAGCAGAGTTGACAACTGGAGGCTGAAGAGCTCTGGGGAGGAATGTGCATCTCTTACTTATGTCTTTACCTGGTCACAGTCAAATGTACAGGGCTTATTCATGTCACTAACCCACTTCTTAGTCATGAGCAGTGAGAAATCAGTTAGCATTTTTTTCATCTCCTTTACAAAAAGAAAAATCCAGCAGCCAAAGACAATAGAGGAGAAACAGATGTAAATCAACATGAAATATTTTAAGACTGCAGAGAGTACTACAGGTAAATATGGGCTAGATGGTCAGCAGCAGTAGGTGTGAGGAATGAATGGGATAGAAATACAACGGTTCAGCAGGGACAGACAGGTTGTCACAATAACTCTTCTGAATTGTTTACTAAATTTTGTTTACAGTATAAACATTTTGCTCAAGGGCTGCTAAAAAGATTTAAGAGAACCGAGTAAAAATGTTCTCTGCTCTATAAACTGCTACTGCTTTGCCTTTCCTATCTGGGTAGCAGAATAAATGAGAGCTACAAAAATACCATTGCAACTAACACTGCACATCATTTTTCAGTTGGTGAAGTGACCAAACAATATATTCTCTGCTTTGCAGAGGAAAGAAATTAAAGGGGAGACAAAACTCTTTGGAGGGTCCTTTAGGAGCATTGTGTCAAAGGGTGGCACTTGGGGTCCCCTTGCATAGCACTGTAGTTTAGTTGTTTGAAGATGCTGAAGTGCATAATGTGGCTGCAAAGCTCATTAGAAAAATTAATTCACTCTATTCATTTTTCATTTTTCCACTCCTGACATGCAGCCTTTTACATCTGGAATTACTTGAAGATAAAGTCATTTTCAAAATATTTTTTTCTGGTTGCTTTTAGTAGATTATAAACTGGATGTTCATGGAAACTGCAAAAGTTTTTTTCCACTTGGGGTCTCCAGCATGACACTCTTCATACTGAACAGACAGGTAGTGCTATTCAAAAGAATGAGGGCCACAGAGGAAGAGCAGAAGACTTTTTAAATTCAATTCACAGATATGATAACCAGCAGGTGATCCAACATCTGTTAGTAGGTGGACACAAGTTTGGAGCCCTGGCTGCTCATATTTAAGGTTTTGGTACTCACCTGCAAGACAAAGTCATTAATGCTATGCTGACATGAAAGATGTGGAATCTAGCTGGAAGGAAGTTACCTGAAAGCCATAGATGGGTTTGGGGTCTCTTACCACCTGTGAGCTGGCTAAGCCATATGGTTGTTATGCTTTGTGGGCCTTAAAAGGATTCACCTGGTCAGCATGTGCAACAAATAACAATTTCCCTTGTGAAGGGTTGGGGATAACTACAAAGTTTGGTAATTAGTGTGAAAGATACAAGAAAGAATGGAGGTTAATAAAACGTTCCCTTCTATGCTAAACAGAAACCAAATTGCAGTTATTCAGAAGGCTGCTTGCCTTAAAGTGTCTCTTCCTTTGTTTGCAATCTAACATTTGGGTCGAATGTTTCACTGCTGGGAGTAACTTTGTCAATTGGAAGCTCAAATTCATCCAATCAAGCCTGCAATAAAGGCAGGCACTGAGGGCTCCTGTGCAGTGCTACAAGGACATGTTGCTTCAGGATAGCGTCTTCAAAACTGCTAATTGATGGAGATCTCACCCTGTGAAATTCAGTATAGCGTTTCCTCTGAAGTCATTAAAGTGTTCTTATGCAAGACACTCCTCCTGCAATTAATTAGCTGTTTGTGTGGGCATTTATTTATCTGAAGACATAAAATTAGACCCTCAGTTGACATAAATGATTCCAGCTCACTTTTGTTCTTTACCACTGGAAGATCAAGCCCAGAAGCAGAGCAGAAAGATAAGCTTCCCAATTCACGTGTGTTTCCCAGCCATTTGCTGTCATACTTCTGCTTCAGTTTTCTCATCTAATTGCGTTTTTCAGGCTCTTGTGTTTTAGGGATATTTCTTTTTTCCTTCTAACAACCCAAATTACTCCAGGAAGAGTCAGTTGTCATGACTCCCTGCTTTAAAGGCTGCTGCCGCCACCGTTTCCAGACAATAACAGGAACAGAAGACCAAAGCAGACAGGAAAAAAAAACCCAACCCTAATTATAGCTCAGACTCCCTTTCTCTTTCTAAAGTGGGAAAGAATGTAAATTATCATTCCTGGACTCAAAATCAAATAGAATTACTTATCTCTTGAAATCTCTGCTGATCTGGCCACTGCACAGTCAAGCAGTGTGCTGCCTCATTATTCCAATGACATACTGCTGCAGGAGGAGAAACTCCCAGCAAAAACACAGGAGCTCATAGTATTCCTCTGTTCTCCTTACCAGGTAGATTTCCATATTTCTCTTTCAAAATAGAGCCCCTGGATCTAAACCAAGTCTGACCTAGGGAAAAATACATGCAAATAACCCCTGGAATAGCAGACAGTGGAGAAGCCGTAGTATGCTTGTTCTTGGAGACAACCAAGATCAGGCTGAAACCAGGCTCTAAGCAACCTGGCTGATTTGTGGGGGTCCCTGTTCATTGCAGGGGAGTTGGAGCAGATGACCTTTAAGTATCCCTTCCAACTCAAATGGTTCTGTGGTGGTACTGCAGCAGGGAGAGCCCTCATCAGGATTATTAGGCTGCTCTCTGGAGAGATCTGGAGCCTTTCAGTTCTCTTCTGTCTTACAATACCTCTCTCTCTAATTTTGATGCACTTTCTGTTGCTGTGTGGAAAAGAAGGTCAGTACTGCATGTTCATATAATGGAATAACACTAAGTCTTCCCTAAGTCTTCCACTGCATTACCAGGATGCTCACTTTGTAAAGGTATTTGGTAGCCAACAAAATAGAGAAGTTCCTATTGAAATATGCAAAGCTACCACATGCTTATTTCCCTTTAAGCCCACAGAGATTATAAGCAACTGAAAGGACATATTGGCCTAGAAAAAGGCGGTGAACTGTGATACAATATGCTCATGAGGGATCTGGAGGAGATGGGCAAGGGAATTCACATTAACCAAATCACCTTGACTTGCTAATGCTGCTTGCTGAGTGTGCATGCTTTGGTGGGACCCAAAGGGCAACATTATGGCAGTTAGTGGGAGGGAATAAAACCCACAGCCACAGATGACAGAGCTCCATAATAAGCATTCTCCAGGAGAGCTGTGATTTAAACCTTATTGAAAGCATTAGCAAGCGGTTGGAAAAATCAAGACAGCACATACTGCAGTGGATTTCGTGACATTTCTATTGCAGAGTTGAGAACCAGGCACCAAAGGATTCAGTGTATCATAAACTGTAAACATGAAATACAGCAGGGAAGCCGCAGCCTCAAAACACAAAACAACCCTCCCGACGAGTATTCAGTCACACTTTCAGACTCACAGAAAATAAATCTTCTCTTCAGCTACGGCTTACGAATGCAAGGAGAGATCAGGAGTGCACACCAGGGCTATTCTGAGCCTCCCTGGTGGAAGTAGGTTAACACCTGCTTGCAGGCTGACATTTCTATGCCAGCACAGCCTGCCTTCCCCAGCACACAGCCGTGCGGGTTGCTTAACCCACCCGCTGCAGAGGATGTGCACCTGCACCAAGGCCTGGGGATTCCTCCTTCTGCACTGTTCTGCGCATGCACACTCACTGCCTTTGCTCATTAATAGCAGTGGAAGCAATTTGCATGAATCAAGCCAAGTGTATTCACATCAGATCTCCCTTTGCTTAACACTGCAGATCTTTCAAGAGAGAAGGTGCGGGATTTTGGAGGAAATGTCCTTCACAGGATGTGCTTTTCAGTATCCATTCAAGGCGATGGAGAACAGATTAGACCTTTTACTCCTAAAGTTCCACTGAGTAGAGAGCAATAAATACAGGGCTTGAGAGTTTTTTTTCTTCCCCTAGATTGCAAAGAATTGATCTGCATGCTGCTCCTGGAACACCTCTGTAAAAATGGGTTTGCTGCTTTTACTCCTCATGGGAATATGCTCTGATCGTGTGATTCTTTCTGGCTGACCTATGGGGCTCTGTCACATGTATCACTCAATTCTACAAATGTATGTCTGCCCTTGGTAAAACCAGTCCTGCACCTCTGCCAGCTGTGTGCTATGAGTATGGAACGGTTAATGTATAGTATGTGCAGATACGGGCACATATTCATAGTCACATTCATGAATGTTCACTTGTGCTAAACAAAACTGCTGGAGAAAATAGCAATAAATATGTAGTTGTGACATTACTAGCATGCCCATATTCCTCCCTAATTCCTTTCCTCCTCCTCTCTTACATGACAAAGACTTTCCAAATAACATTAACTGTTCCTCAGGTGTTACCTTGGCATTCTGAATATGATGTGGCCCTGCAAAGAGCACACAATCTCCTTCAAAGCAGACTCAGAGAAGAAGATCTGATAGATCCTAACATTCTTTTTTTCCATTCTTCTCTATCAATCTCAGTCCTTTTATTTCCATTCAGTATCTCAGAGAACACTCAAGAATTAAATTAATTAGCTTCTAGTAATGGGGGATTATCACTTTATCTGTGTAACAGAATTCTATCCATACAAATGAGATGCTGCTGCGACACTCCTTGAATAGCTGCACCAGAACTCGAGGGGGAAAAATGACCACTGGTGTCTCATCAAAGGGACTGCAACACTGGGTAAATTCCTTAGGGTAGCTTTGCTGTGTAAGCCGTTAATACAACTCTCAGCATCCAGGAAATAGAATCCAAAGGATCAGAACAAAAAATGGACTCAGAAATAAACAAATAAACAAATAAATAAATGATGCAATGGAACAACAAATGTTTCCATGGAAACTTTGGAGCTACTTGCAATGGAGGACAACGCTGCTGTTTCTCACCCACTGCCGTATGAGTCTGTGTGTGCTGACACTGCTTTGTGCTATCTTGGAGCTGGAGGAGCTATGGTAACAGAGCAGGTGTTTCTCATGGAAACAAAGACATGCTACACGGTCACTCCTTGAAGGAGAATGGGAAAACCATCCATGCCATTGCAAACCAGAAGCTGGTCAGAGGACTGTGGGGACCCATCAGTGAGAAGACTGATGGCTTGAAATTATTACATATCTCCCAAAGGCAGGCAGCTGAGAAATTTTAGCATGATTGCAATAATCCCAACGTTTGCTGGAGATCTTCTTCCAACAGTGTGGCCACCTTGCTTTGGGCATGTAAGATTGAGTGGTTTGTCACTCCCTTTAGCTTTTTGTTTGTACAACACTGAGCAGCTGTGTTTGTGCAGTGTATGGGTGGGGACATATGAACATGTACTACTGTTTAAAATGAGAAAGGCAAAATGAAAGAGAAAGACAAAGCAATCCAAAGAACAGAGCTCTTTGCTCTGAGACTTCCTTTTGAAAGGCTACAGTCAGTCCCACCCCAGTGCATTACAAAGGAAAACAGAGCTCATAAATAATAAAAATAATAAAAGCAAAGCTCATAAATCTCCAGCACCCTCCAGATGCTGCTGGGGAAGAGAGGGCAAGGAGGGATCTGCCAGCCCCAAGCTGAGGGGTGTGGACAAAAGCTGAGATCCCTCTGAATGGAGACCAGAGAACTTCAAGGGCAGAGGATGGATTTCAGAGAAAAGCGTTTCTAGAGCTGTGCCAGAGCAAAAAGGAAGGGACAGTTGCATTCAATGTGCACGTAATTGTCAGGGCAAAAAGAAAGCAACAGCTCTGTGCTTAAGAATAGCAAAAGCCCTTGAAGACTCAAGCAGGTAAGTCCATCTGTTTTTACACCTCACCATCATCCTTCCAGGACAGGCAAGTTTTGTTCTCAAAGGCAAGTAGGAACTAAACCTTCTAGTTCCATAGTTACATACACTGAGACACCTACTGGATACAAAACAGTAGGTTTTTAAGAGCCACAATCTTAAAAATAAACCAGCTCTCACTTAAGTATAGAAGAAAAAGCATTTCGAGAAGGACTTCTGACCTCTTCTTTCCTGCCACTGAACCTCCTGTGAATAGCATATCTGCAGACCTGAAATACAGCATATTACTATATTTTGTCTTGGCAGTAGAAGTCCACCTACCCAGCCAATTTTTTACTTATTCTGTGCTGCTAGAACACTTCATCCTAAAGGCAATTATACTTTCTTTATATGTCATCATACATTTATGTACATTAACCTTGTGCTAAATTCCAAAGGCTAGAAACAACCACCTAAATCATGCTAATTAAGACAAATTACTGGAATGCTTTGAGGAACGCTGGGAAATGCATTTTGCTGCATGCTACAGTAATGAAAACAAAGCTCAATTCCATAATGCTTATTAGCTCTTATTTCAACACTTTATTTTTTCTTAATCTTTTTTAGTCCTCCTCCCCCTTTCTCAGGGATGCAATTTAAATGAATTTCTCCACCAAGACCCCAAAGCAAGTACATCCATGCTAGAAGTTGGCCGTTATGGAGAAGTTAATAGACCAAATTCATCCCCAGGTATAACACCTGAGTTCTGCAGAGCTACATCATGATGAATACAGCCCAGGTTTGGGAGATGTGCGCTCCTTAATTTTCTATGCTCTGTGCTTCACAGACGTCACAAGCAGACAGAAAAGAGGCAGAATCCAGCCCACTGAGATGGAGACAACTCCCGACTGAGAGATCTACTTCAGCTGGCTTTGTTATGACCTCTCTGTAGGGGACTTGGTGGTGGAAACAAAGGCAAGAATACAGGAATGGTGCAATGCCAGAGCAAGCAAAGAGCTTAAACAGCACATATTTAATTGCTTCAGCCTTCAGAAGACACCTCATGATCCTACAGGCCCAATTCCTCTGCTTCAGGTATTTATCA